CGGGCTGCAGGGGCCCTGCTGAAGCCAAGGGCGGAGGAAGGAAACCAGTAACAAGCAATCAGGGTGGTGCAGACCTGCCTTGTACACCAAACAGGACTGACCCGCTGCGCTGGCCAGAAAGCAGCTGAGACTAATTTGGCAGCTTGAAGCAGCAGGAGCAACTTACTTGTTGACTCCAGGACCAGCCATGACCCTCAGCATAGGCTCCAGGTCCTCTGCGTAGCGGCACATGGGCCCCGTGCACAGGAAGCTGGTCCGCACCCCTCGAGCGTTTGGGAACTGGCCGTCGTTAGGCACCACCCCTGCGAGCACAGAGGGAGACGTCGGGCACCACCCTGCAAGCATCCGTGAGCGCCCACAGGCATCGCCTCCGGCCGGGGCAGGCCATGCAGGAGGGCGGCCTCCAGGTGCAGGGGGAAGCTGTTGCCCAGGGATTGTGCACGTTGGCAGCGCTTGCAAGCTGACGGCGAGGTGCACAGGGCGGGGAAAGGAGGAAAAGCACCCAGCCAGGACACTGGCTGCCAGGGAAACACCCCAGCAGCAGATCCTGACCCTGGGAAAACATCCCACGCTGAGGATGCAATACACGGGGATAAAACGCCTCCCATCTCCCATGCGCTTGGAATTCTGCCACCACATGGCTCCCCGCTGCCAAGGCCAAGTTGCACTCATACAGCGGGCTTGTCCCGTGCAAGAAGTTGCCTGTCCCCTTACAGCAATCCCACCAGAGGCAAGCACAGGAGTGTCCCCAACAGGTTCCTCCCGCACCCCGCATTCGGCCTCCTGGCACTTCTGCTGGGGAGGGGAGGAGATCCTCGCGCCTGCTTTACCTGTTGTGGGTTTATGGCCAAAGACTCCGTTGAAGAAGGCAGGCATCCGGATGCTGCCGCCGATGTCGGAGCCCACGCCTATGACTGAGCAGGCAGCTGCCAGGACACCACCCTCCCCGCCTGCATGGGAGAAAAAACAGCAGAAAACCCCACAGGCTTGTAGTGCAAATCATCCAGCAAAGCAGGAGCATCTCACGGCAGCTGCTTCCCTTTGCACGCAGATAGGGTGGGAGCCACCCCGGCTTTTGCGATGTCTGGGGGACAGCTGGGGAACATGGGTCAAAGGGATTTTTCTGCCACAGTGCCACACCAGCACTGCTGTTTGCACATAGAGTAACAGAGAGGGAGCCGAAGCAATGCCAGGTGTAACATTCAGGAGGTGCCAAGCTGTTGGACCTCCAAATGGCCTACTGCAACGCCCAGGAGAGGCCTGTGAGCTCTGCAGGAGCCCAGCAACAAGTTAAAGCAGCGGGCAGAGGACCTGGGAACTCTTTCCTTGCTGCATTTTAACCCTCTGCTCATGCAGGACCGTGCTGAGGTGCCGGGGCTCACCTGAGCTGCCGCCCACGATCCTCTGCAGATCATAGGGGTTGTTGGTCCGGCCGTAGACCCTGTTGCTGGACTCGTACCACATGCACAGCTCGCTGCAGTTGGTCACGCCCAGTGGGATGGCACCAGCCTGCTTCAGCCGGGACACCACTGTGGCATCCGAGGTAGCAATCACATTGCGGCGGTTGACCAAGCCAGACGTGTTGGGCATCCCTGCGGTGCCAGGGACAACAGATGGAGGGAGGTGTCAGAGCCAGCTCCCCCTGAGGTCACCCTTGGGGCAGCAGGCTGCAGGGCCAGTCGCAGGACGTCTGTGAGAAGCAGGTCCCCAGCAAGGGCTGCTCCCCTGAGGCACCACAACCCCCATAGCGTTTGGGTGCTAGAAGTGAACACGGATGCATGAGAGGAGTGCAGAGCTGGGAAAGGGAAGCTGCTTCCCTCTAAGTGCCCTGCCACTGCCACCCGCCACCCTGGGGAGCACGCGGCCACGGAGGAGCGAGCTACGACCTGTGAAGCTGGAGAGAAACAAGGGCAAACGTACCGTGCAGAGAAAAGGCCTCCTTGACGGTGATGGGAACCCCTAGCAAGGGGAACTTCTCCTCCAGGTAGTCATCGCTGGGGCCCTCCGAAAGCAGCTTATCTACCTGCCGGGCTTCCTGCAGGGCCTCCTCAAACCTGCAAAGAAGCAACCGGTGGGGATGCTCTGGCGCTGCTCTCCAGCCTCGAGGGCCTGGCAAGGAGCAGGCGTCTCCGCAGGGCGGGCGCGCGGCAGGAGCTGGTAACGGAAGATGAGGCTTCCCCAGCTCTTCTTCACGGTCTTGCAAGAACGTCTTGCTTCCGCACCCGGCCAAACCAGGGCCAGCAGC